GCTTCCTGGGTTAGCAAAGAGCTATTTGCTAGCCGTGTTGGTCATGGAGGTGGCAGTGAGGTGGCTGCAGTGCTTGGCCATCCAGGATCTGCACGCTTCCTGCCTGCTGTGGAGCCTGGGGCTGGTGCCACTACAGGAAATGCTGCTGGTGAACTCCTGGGAGGAAGGCAGCCAGCAAGCAGGAGCAGGCCCCTGGCCCATGCTAAGGGGGCTGGTGGGCTTGGGGCAGAACGCTGGCAGAGTTAGTGGCCAAACAGAGTAAAACAAGTTGAATGCTACTGTTTTGTCTAGTAGCTTTATTTACATTTTGGCATATTACCCCCTCTGTGCTAAAAGAGTGAGCTTGCCTAAGAGCACCCCCTGGTGAATCCTTTGATGAAGTTGACTGAGGATCAAAAGAAGCAGTCTTCATCACTAGGTGCTGTCCCTCATGAATAAGGCATAATAGTGTAATTTATTCAGTAAATTTGTAATAAATAGGTATTTAACATCTTTACGTTCAGGTGATTCTTCAGGCTTTTCAGGAGCTCTCTGCTCAAGTTATCATTTGTTAAAAATTATAAGTTATTAAGCTTTTTTACTATATTACACACTAAAGGAGTATAGGTTCAGTCTGGTTTGAAAGCACCTTATCTAAAGAATTCCATTGCTGATGTTTAAAGGGTATTTCCATGAAAATAAAGTCACGTACACCCAATAAGAGACCTGTGGGTATAAAAGGCATTACTTGTAGGAACTGTATGTGTACTTGGCCTCATGTGCAGAAACACTCCAGGATAATAGGTGGTGCATTTTGTTTTTTTGTTTTGTAGTTTTTGTAATTATTTTTTTTTGTGAGTGATGCCTGCATGTGTGCACATTCCTTAAAAAAACAATGTAAGTTTCCCAAAAGACTGCAAGATAAGCCTTGCATGCTTAAAATAATTGACAGCTTTATTTCTGTATCATGCTTTTTCTTGTAGTTTATGTAGTATTGAAGAGATTCTTATCTGCAGTCATTTTACATACTATTTATAGTGCTTATGTTGGGCAGATTGTTTCAGAAACAAGTTACTGCTGTTAACTAGATTTTCTTTGGTGCAGTATTATCTGCAAGGGCACTTTGTTGAGAGCAAGTAGAAGTCCAAAAAGCAGGCAATGCAGATGTGAATTGAAGAAAAAAGAAAAGACTCTTCGTTTGATTTGTACGTGTTTATAGGTTTCTGCCGCATTCACCATGCCCCTGTGCAATAAGGTGTAAAGAACAGGTACAGTTTGTATTTAGGAGAGCAGTCTTGATGGCAGTGAAGCAGCAGTTTTCTGTGACTAAAGTACAACCATATTAATTATTTTTAAAAGCATTATTGGATCTCTAAAAGAGATTTTTATTTGTCTTATTATACAAAAATTGTGTTGTTTCATCTATTTAGCTGTTCTCGTTTGGACTCTGTAGGCCTGACAGTTAGTTGTATACTTCTGTAATATGATGAGTGATGCATCAGACTAGAGTGACTTGTCATAGGAGAAATTTAATATAAAAGTCCATGTAAATAAATTGCATGATGTGGTTGTGCAGTAGGTGGTCAAAAGATTAAAAGACCCATGTGAGTGTATTCTGTTGGCAGCCATTGTCAGGGGCTTCTCCTTGGTCTAATTTCTTCATTTTTCTTCTCTTCTCTGTACTAGCTCCTGCACTGGTCTATTTCTTGCTGAATTGTCTCAAGGCCTGAAAGGTAGCTTAATAAAAAAAGTGAATATATATATATGTGTGTGTGTGTGTATGTGTATATATATATATATTTTTTTTTTTTGAGCTGACAGATTGAAAGAGCTTAGCAGAGTATTTGATAAACGTTAAGGAACATGAGGAAAAACTAAGCAAGCTGGGCCTCTTTAGCCTGTAGAAGAAAAGATTTAAAGGGAATCTAATCAACACGCACAAATATGTCAGGGGAGAAGGTAAAGAGGATGGGGCCAAATTCTCATTGTTGGGGTAAGGGATAGGGGGATCTACCTGGGGTGGAACAAGGGGTAGGGCTGGAAGAGAGCTAACATCACTCCAGTCTTCAAAGAGGGCCGGAGGTAGGAGCTGGGCAAGTACAGCCTGGTCAGCCTCACCTCCATCCCTGGTAGGGTGATGGAGCAGCTCATCCTAGAGAGCATCTCTAGGCATGTCAAGGAAAAGGAGGTGATTAGGAGTAGTCAGCATGGATTCACCAAGGGGAAGTCATGTCTGACGAACCTAATAGCCTTCTATGATGGGATGACTGGCCAGCTGGATGAGAGACGTGGATGTTGTCTACCTTGACTTCAGCAAGGCTTTCGTCACCATCTCCCATAATATCCTCCTAGGAAAGCTCCGGGAGTGTGATCTGGATGAGTGCACAGTGAGGTGGATTGAGAACTGCCTGGATGGCAGAGCCCAGATAAATGGTAATAAAAGGTGACAAATGGGGCCGAGTCCAGTTGGAGGTCTGTGGACAGTGGTGTCCCACAGAGATCAATACTGGGCCCAGTGCTGTTCAACCTGTTCATCAATGACCTGGGCGAGTGCACTGAGTGCAACCTGAGCAAGTTTGCAGATGATACCAAGCTGGGTGGAGTGGCCGACACTCCGGAGGGATGTACTACCATCCAGAGGGACCTGGACAGGCTGGAGAGTTGGGCAGAGAGGTTCAACAAGGGCAAGTGTAGGGTCCTGCACCTGGGGAGGAATAACCCCGGACATCAGTACAGATTAGGGGTCGACCTGCTGGAAAGCAGCTCCACGGAGAGGGACCTGGGAGTCCTGGTTGATACCAAGTTAACCATGAGTCAGCAGTGTGCCCTCGTGGCCAAGAAGGCCAATGGGATCCTGGCCTGCATCTGGAGGAGTGTTGCCAGCAGGTCAAGGGAGGGGATCCTGCCCCTCTACTCAGCTCTGGTGAGGCCGCATCTGGAATATTATGTGCAATTCGGGGCTCCTCAGTATAGGAGGGATGTGGAGCTTCTAGAGAGGGTCCAGCAGAGGGCAACAAAGATGATAAAGGGACTGGAACATCGCTCCTACGAGGAGAGACCGAGTGAGTTGGGCCTTTTTTCTCTGGAGAAGAGAAGGCTGAGAGGGGATCTGATTAATATGTATAAGTACATGAAGGGGGAATGTAGGGAGGAAGAGGCCAAGCTCTTCTCAGTGGTGGTCACTGACAGGACAAGGGGTAATGGGCATAAGCTGAAACACAGGAAGTTTCATCTCGAGGTGAGGAGGAACTTCTTTACTGTGAGGGTGGCTGAGTCCTGGAACAGGCTGCCTCGGAGGGTTGTGGAGTCTCCTTCTCTGGAGGTCTTCCAAACCTGCCTGGATGCCACCCTGTGCCATGTGCTCTAGGTGTCTGTGCTCGAGCAGGAAGGTTGGACTAGATGATCTCTAGAGGCCCCTTCCAACCTTAATCATTCTGTGATTCTGTAATGGGTATAAATTGAATGAGAGAAAAAATCTCATCTCTTATGAGATATGAAGAAGAATTTGTTTACTTTAAGAGTGACAGAGCACTGGAACAGGCTTCCCAAAGAGGTGGTGGAGTCTCCTTTGGAGATGTTCAAAACCTGCCTGGATGTCATCCTGTGCCACCTACTCTAGGTGTCCCCGCCTGAACAAGGCGGGTGGACTATGTAATCTCTGGAGGTCCCTTCCAACCTCAACCATTCTGTGATTATGACTGTGCAAGGAAGGGATGAGACAGGTGACACGAAAGGGAGGGCACCGGTCTCATTCTGAGAGGTACTTTTGCAGTCACATGGCATGGATATTTCCACAATGTTAATGAAAATGTCGAACCACTGGGGAAAAAGGCCCTGCCTCAGTTGTCGGCGCAACCACAGAATCCTGGCAGTCTTGGGAGTAAAAAGCCCTTCTCATGTGCTTGTATATCCCTGCTCTATAACCCTGTAGTTCAGTGACTTATATTTACTCCTTTTGTTCCTTAGCTCATATTTCTGTTATCTTAGAAACACAAGTTTACTAACAAAATTGTATCATGTTCATATAAGATACTGAGAATATGTTTCTTTATATCTTGATGTAATATTTAGGTAGCAGAAAGAACTGAACCCATTTCTACCATCTCTTTCATTTGACCACTTCTTTTAGCTTCTAGTACTTGTGAATAGTGTTTTTCATGTTCGTAACTGCTAAGAACTTAATACATTTGTTTTGTTAAATGGGTTTATATCCATATCCACTAGTCTACATGGTTTACTTTTAATAGAACCCAGAGTGTGTTAATATATTTACCTTTCTATTGTAACAAGAAAGCTGTTTAAATTCAATTAGATGGCAAATGCTTATACATAAAGCACTCAAGCTGATATTCATACATAAGATTTTTTTTTTTTTTGCATTGTATTGTGTCTGTTAGCTTACATACTGCCTACAAGTGCACTGGCTATTGCGGCTTGCACCTTCCTAAGAGGTAGGTGTTCCAAACTGCTGCTACAATATTGTAAGGTGTGCATGTGGTTTGAACTTTGGCTTTGAAGTCAACACAGCTCCTATTTTGATTAACATGCCTAAGACTCTCCACACAGGGTAGTTCTAGTTTACAAGCGGGTTATTCCTTATATGCTGCCTCAGAGCAGTCATTTTTGGGGTATACGTTCTCCAGGTCAGAGATATACCTGCCAGTAGCTTGTTCCGTAGAACATATGTATACAGATGCTGCTTCATGTTGCAGGTTTTTGCCCACCTTTTCCTGTATTGAAAATGGTGGATTTTACACAGTCACCAGTTAGTGTTGTGCCCTATTGTCACTACAGGGAACAATTTTCCCATTTGATGAAAGAATGATTTTTATTTCAGTAGCCACAGTTAGTAATATTCCTGTACACTTCTTTTATGGGTTAGGCACCCTTGTGTTTCTCGGTTGAAACTGAAATCTTGTGGAAAGACTCTGAAAAACAAATCTCTGTGTCAGCATCCCCCAGAATTGAAGTTGAGGCTACTGAGCATTTTTTAAGATTTTTTTTTCTCTACTATTGAGCAGCAACAACACAAGAGTTCCTTCAGCATCAAACATTTGCTCCGACCTTGTGATTCTAAGTGCCTCTGTCATCTTGCTGCTGTGAGTCTTGTTCTTTCTGTTTTCAATTCCTCACATCTGCAGATGCTCAGTGTCCAGGGCTACTAAGTTAAGGAACCAAGTAATGCCAAGTGCATGCATAAATACTTAAAGAGGGGGCTTACTAATATGTGAATTCGTATTGTGTAGCTTTTACTACTGTTATGCCATAGCAACAACTATTTGCCAACAATTTCCTTTTCTTTTTCAGCTTTTTTAATTGTTTTTCCTCAGTGACAATGGCAAGGATTCGGATTGCTAGCGCAATTGTAATACTTTTTGTTATGGCTCAGACTGGCTTCTTACTCTTCATGTATGCCCGGCAGAGTAGTTTCATGCCTCAATCAGAAGAAAAACCATCTCAAGTCCACATCCTCATTCTCTCCTCCTGGCGATCAGGATCTTCTTTTGTTGGTCAGCTTTTCAGCCAGCACCCCAGTGTCTTCTATCTGATGGAACCTGCGTGGCATGTGTGGGTCACGATGTACCAGAGCAGTGCCAAAGTCTTGCACATGGCTGTGCGGGACTTAGTCAGATCTGTCTTTCTGTGTGATATGTCTGTGTTTGATGCCTACATGCCTTGGAAAAGAAACTTATCCGATCTCTTTCAGTGGGCAGTGAGTCGGGCTCTGTGTTCGGTTCCTGCTTGTGACTCTTTTCAACGTACGGACATAACCAGTGAAATGGCATGCAAGACCCTATGTGGCCGATACCCATTCAGCAAGGTGGAGGAAGCCTGCAAGACCTACAGCCACGTTGTCATCAAGGAGGTCCGGTTCTTTGACTTGAAGGTTCTCTACCCGCTTCTCACCGACCCCTCTCTGAACCTCAAAATTATTCACTTGGTCCGTGACCCCAGGGCAGTTGTCAAGTCCCGAGAACAATCAGTCAAAGCATTAGCCCGTGACAATGGAATTGTTTTGAGTACCAATGGCACTAAAGTAGAGGACACCAAATATAAAGTAATGCAAGAAATCTGTAGAAGTCATGTTCAGATTTATGAAACAGCTACTTTTAAACCCCCTAATTTCCTTAAAAATCGCTATTTAATGATCCGTTTTGAAGATTTGGTAAGAGATCCTTTGTCAGAAATCTCAGAAATGTATAAATTTGCAGACCTTAGACTGACCCCCACACTCAAAAGCTGGATCTATAATATCACACATGGACAGGGACCAGGAAAAAAAAAAGAAGCCTTCAAAATCACATCCCGAGATGCAGTTAATGTTTCCCAGGCCTGGAGGAATGTTCTTTCCTTTCAGAAAATTAAGAAAGTACAGGAGGTTTGCAAAGGTGCTATAAACATGCTTGGTTATCAACTAGTGGATTCAGAAAAAGAACAAAGGGATCTGTCGTTGGATTTAGTATTGCCAAGACGACAAAACCAATTCAGCTGGTTATCATTTAATCCAAAGAACTAAGACATTATTACTCAAAGAGATTGGGGGCGAAGTGGGGGAGGGAGCAGGAAGTATTTATAGTGTAGTTTATAGGTAATTGGAAAATACTTGTGTGCTGAAATTATCTTACTGTCTCCTGTTTTTCCAAATGATATATATATATATAACATATATATACATATTTTGAATTTCTTGCACTCAAGAATGCAGCAAAACACATATCAGATTACAGAATTACAGACCATCTGTGCTGTACTCATTGTTTTTAAGAATATAATTTAAATATTTCTGTTAAAAGATGAGTTAACAGAGGTTTCTTTTTTGTTGTTGTTAATTGATAATAGTTCAAATCTGTAGCAGAAACAGTAGAAACTTGTTTTTGCCACTTCCAGAATCATGCGACAACTTGTGTTTTAAATCTCTTTTGCAGTTGTGCATTTTTTTAGACCTCTCAACATTCTTAATTTCAGCATAAAAGTTCTCCAAGAGATGGAAGAACTGCAGTGGTCAAATTGTAAAAGGTTTGAACAGTCATTTATTGGTAGGTTGCTTACTACTTTGTCGTGGAAGATTTCTCAGCCAGACTTCGAATGTGACACTGTTACAGAGCACTATCGTGGAGTAGAGAAAGGGGAAGGACGGGAAGAAACCTTGCAGGGAGCCACAGTGCAAGTAGACTGTAAATGCCACCCTAGTCACGTCTCCTGTCGCAGAGCAGGGATGTGCAGGGCAGCTCCCATGTTATCCTCCCCCCGGTCAGCACTGCATTTGGTTGCTAAAGAAGATGACTGAGATACGTAAGGTACTTTGGAAATGTGTGTGTTGTTTGTATTTCTGTATGAAAGTGGTCCATTCAACCAATTGTGGTAGCAAAAATAGCAAAAATAAAGACTGGTTTTATACAATATGCCTCAGGATGAACCATACAAATTAAAGCAGTGCCAGATGTCCAGAGGGGGGCACATGCGTACAGGGCACGTCCACAGCGATCCCCCTTCACCTCTCGTGTCGGTAAAACGGTAGCGCAGGCGGGGGGGGGGGGGAAGGCGCATGCGCACGCGGGATGGCCGCAGTACTGCACGAGCTGCACGCGAGGGCAGCAGGGAGTGCGCCGGGACTCTGTGCGCATGCGCCTTCCCCCCCCCCCCCCCCCCCCCCCCCCCCCCCCGCTCCGGTCGCTGCTGCCGTCGACTGTCGACATGGCCGCGCTGCGCTCACGGCTGCCGCCGGCAGCACCGCCCGCCGCCGAGCTCACTGCAGGCGGCCGTGCGCACAAGCGCCGTGCTGGTCCTCACTACTCTGCGGTGTTTCGGTAACGGGTGAGCGAATGGGCCCTGTTGGCAGGCCCTTGCTGGGGCCCTGGAGCGGCGGTGCAGAGTGCTGTTCCCTCGGTTCGTTGCGTGTCGCGGGGACAGACAGCACAGCGCGGAGCTGCTCCGCGCCCCTCTCGTTCCCCAGAGAACAAGAAGCCCCAGGGCTGCTTGCTGGCCCCCGCTGGTCGCCCAGACACGGGAAGAGCAGCCCTGAGGTGCTGGGCTCGCTTGAGGGCTTTTGGAGGGCATTATTTTTTTTAAAAAAGGGAAATTACTTTGGCAGAGAAAAAAAAAAATGTGTGTTAATTTTCAGAGGGGAAAAGTTTTGAGAATTGAGTGTAAGGAAAAGATCCTGATGCCTGGCTATATAAATAATATAAGCAATGTAAACAATATTTGGAAGCATTGAAGGAAAGCTTCCCCTACCCCCCCCGATTACGTTTTATTTGGCTACCTTGTATTCTCACTATTTAAAGTAGGCTCTACTTAACTGAATACAGCAAATTAATTGTAAAGAAATATTTAACTCTCCTTAAAAGTTGTTGGTAAGTACTTGGCAAATATCTGAATTTGCGATTTTTAAATTTTTTTTAATCTTATTTATTTATTTATTTTATTTTTTTGCATCACTTGTCAAACAGAAAACTGCTATTCTTATTATGGTCCAGTTAAAAATAAAAGGTGCTTTTTTTTTTTTTTTTTTTTTTTTTTCCTTCAGTAGTAAGGTTGCATTATGTTCTTCCTGAAATCCCTGTTGGAATTGGGGTTGAGACAGTGAAATTAAGAAGGAGAAACAAATGTACAATCTAATGAAGTGACAGTTGGGGGAATAAAACTGCTATAAGTAAATAGATCATATTTTCAAACTCAAGAGTTACCGGAAAATGTGCAGTGTCCTTTTCCTTAAATGAATATATCATGTGTCTCAGAAATTGTAATTAAAGAGGTAATAAAAATATTTTAAGTTTGGATAGCATTCAGTGTTGTTTCTTTTATTAGGTAAAGATACTACTTTGAAAAAAATTAGAAAAAATAGAAATGCTTACTCCTGCAATCTGGTACAAGCAGCAATCTTTAAATAACAATGTCAAGTGTGTTCACAGGGTCAGGAAGTGTTTCTTTTTTTTTCCTCCAAAGAAAAACTCACGTAAAACTTCGCTTTTACAGCATTGCGTTATTGTTGTGTTTAGCTCTCTTGAAGACTGTACCAGTGTCTCTTGCAGTTATATGCTAAAATCAAAGAATTCAATCTTACAGTAGTGCTTTTCATGGAGGAGGAGGACTTATTAAGCAAATATCATTAGTTCTTTTTTTTTTTTGTATAACTGTAGATGAAGAGAGAGGTAATTCTCTACAACAGCATTAGTGCAGTAAGTAACTTTGCTTTTCCTTTACAGAGTTCGGGTAACCATCAGTAAATCCTGCTGTTAGGATACCTCCTGGAGATTTCCTACAAAAACTTTCAGGGATGACTACTTTGCGAATGAGAGGAATGCATCATTGTCGACTGCTATGTGCCACAAACCAGCTGGGTACTTCCCTAGTAATGATTTCATTTTCACATTGCCCAAGTTGAGTTGCTTCTACTCATTCAAAAAGAAGTCATTCAAGTGGAGCACTGTCAACTGAACAGAGATGGTAAAGCAAACACAAGGAAAGAGCAGATGAAAGCCTGGCACATTTCAGTGGGAAGTCAGGCCGCATCCCACGTGGATCTGATTTTTCAAATTCTGGAGTGTTCATGGTAGAGAGAACCTCATTTTACAGTGGCAAAAGAAATGGGTGTATTCATTTTGGAGAATTTCTGCGTGAAAGTCTTTTCCTGTTAAGATAATAAATGCTTGATTCTGGAAGAATTCCTATTAGTATATTTTTGGAGGCTTAATTTCCAAGATTAGCCCAGGTGTCCAGGCTCAGGGAATTCTGTGTGTATTAGCAAGCTCAGCTCATTATTTAATGCCTAGCATGGATTGCAGCGTTGCCAGCAGGTTGGAGTTAATGCTCTACTTCCTGGCTGGGGGAGGCTTGCTTCAAAGCATGGTGTCTGAGCAGAATGGGTTGCATGCCTGAAGCTGTTGCTCCTGTTTGGTTTCTCAGGTAGAACAACTTCTGCTTGTCCTGCAGATAGGTGAGATGAGATCACAGAATCACAGAATGGTTAAGGTTGGAAGGGACCTCTAGAGATCTTCTAGTCCAACCCCCCTTTTCAAGCAATGGATTCCTACCTAAGGGAAGGGACAGGTTGGGTCGATGGGTTGGTTAGATCTCTAAAGGTGTGCACCGTCAGATGAAGTGAGAGCTCCACAGGGTGTAGACCTTAAGGGCAGCTGCAGCAAGAAGCTTAAGGTCAGACTAACACTGCTGGATAATTGCTGTTGAAACTCGGAATGGTATTAGGTGTTCTCCTCTGGATCTTGTTTTCGGTGGTAGGTTGAATGGGATGTATTGAAATGCAGAACAGCATTGGCTGTTCTTGTCTGATTCTTGTAGTTGGCAATTGTTGTAAGAAAAGGGCAGAGGGAGACCCGTACTGCATCAACACAAGGGGCAATACTTTTTTCCTCAGAAGGAGGGATCTTGAAAACATCTCCTCTGGGCTGTGCTCTAAAACATGGGGGAAAAGTAGGGGGAAATCTTCTTAGACAAAGACAGCTTGCGGAATATTGTAATCATTGTTGGCCAATGAGTACTTTGGAGAACCAGGAGAAGTGGCTCAAGAAGGGAAATTTAAGATATAGTGTATTGTAATTGATGTTATTTTGTAAAAGGGAAAGTAACGGGACAGTAGACATGGGAAGGTAAATGAGACAAAGTCCCAGCTGTAGATTTGTTCTTTGCCTTGAGAAACGCCCCGGAATGGCCAAAAGAATGTGGAATGCTTCCCTCTGATTCAGGGCTCTCGGGCTGCCACTCTGGGCTCTGAGCCTTCCCAGCCTCCCTTTCGTAGTTCTATTTCCTGTGTTGTGGCCTCTTCTGGGCTTGTATATGTTAGTATATATACTAATATCAGTAATAGATAGATCTGCTAATATATATATTGCTATATAAAATATAGATGTATCTGGTAATACATATATGTTTCTACTGCAGCCTCTGAGTCATTGAGCACTGTATTTTACAATGCTCAGAGGAGAGCTTGGTTCCCGAAGCCTTCAGAAGCAGCTGCCTGCCCCAGCCCAGATCCGCAGCAGATGTGTGCACAGCTCCATGACAGGTGGGACCGCACAGGAGGCTTTGTTCATGCTGCAGTGACAGTTGGGCTGGGAGCGGGTTGCAGAGAGAGAAGCAGCCAGATAAGGCGTGATGCAGCGCTGTCTCGTCTCGCTCGGGAGATGTTCGGGTGCAGGCACTACTGCGCAGGCAGACAAGGGTCGTGCCATCTGGGCATGCATTTGTGCAGGCGGACACCGCATGTCACCGCTTGCCCTATATGCTACTATCCCCGGGTGGCTTGGGGGGGTGTACTGCACCAGTGAAGTGGAAGCGTATGTGCAGTCAGCTCCGCCATACTCTGTGCTGCCATTGCGTGCATAAGTGGTGGTACTATGATGCTGAAGGAGCCTAGCCTCATGCTCAGTGCTGCCCTCCCACACATAAGCAGTGCTACGGCAATGGTAAAGCAGCCGCGCCTGCGCATTGCGTAGCCGCCCACTCAGTGCTGCCATCCCGTGTCCACAAATTAGTACTGTTTACAAACGGCGCATGGGCGCCCTACGTTACCACCTGTGAACTGCTGCTCTCGCGCATCTAGAAAATAAAACTGCAAGTGAATAGGACAGGGGTATGCCCGTTTTGACAGCTGCCTGAAACTGGTGCACATAGGAAGCTCCTAGAAGAAGCAAGTTAGGAGTGGAAGGAAGCCTTGTTCTTGCAGCTGCCCTTGCGGAGGTTGCTTACTTCAGTCTGGGTAAGAGTGGTGGAAATGTACATATCAACATCAAAGCACAGGTTCTTATTATTGAAACACTACCAGTTCTTAGACTGCGTTCACTGTTTAAAGAAAATAAAAACGGTAAAAAATCAAACCTGAAAAACAAAGATCTCAAGGGTCTGAAAAGCGCACAAGCCTCCTGCACTTGTCGCTAAAGCAACACTGGAGTGAAAAAGGCAGTGTGCATGCGCCCTGCCTTGAGCCGCGCTCCCTGCTTTCATCCTCTGTCTGCAAGGGTGGGTGGAGGAAGCGTATGCGCCCTGCGCTGCGCTGACTTCCCTGCGCCGACTTTGCTGCTGCCAGGGCATGTCCACAAATAAGCACTTCAGGGTTTCGAAAGGGAGGCGGAGGGGAGAGAGACAAGGAGCGCTCATGCACAGTGTGCTGTGGGTAGCTCGCAACTGCCATCGCATGTCCGAAATTGTGTACTGCACCGATAACGGAGGCTGCGTATGTGCAATGTTTTTTCGTGCGCTCACTGCTTCCATCGCATATCCCGAGTCGGGTGCTGCACCGAGAAGGACGGCTGCGCATGCGCATTGTGCTCAGACGCGCTCACTGCTGCCATCACATGTTGGAGGTATGGAACTGCACCGGCAAAGGAGGCTGCGCATGCGCATTGTGCTCTGGCGCGCCCACTGTTGCCATCGCATGTCCGAAATTTGGTACTGCACCAATAAGGGGGGACTGCGCATGCGCAGCGTACTCTGCCTGGCTCTCTGCTGCCTGCGCGTGTCGGAACGTGGGTACTGCTGTGGCTGGATGTTTGTACATGCGCAGTGCGCAGGGCGGTCCCATATGGCGCGCGGCGTATGAGCGGCGGTCGGCCCGTGTGCTGCGATGGCCAGGGGCGTGTGTGAAGGGGCCCATCAGCGCCTTGGGGGTGGCGGTGGGCCTTGGACCGTGTCCTGCTTGCTAGGGCATCGCTGTGTGGAGGTGGTGGTGCGGGACTTGATGTGCTGGAGTGCAGGGTTGACCTGCCTTTTTCTCGTGTTTCTTTTAAGGGCTGCGGTTGTTGCCAGGGCTGGGACTAGCGCTCGCTACTGCAAGGGAGGTGGCGGGGGGAGGCAGAGGAGTAGCGTGAGGGGGGATGATGGTGGGGGGACGCAGGGGAGTAGTATGAGGGGTGGCGGTGGGGAGAGGATGTGGTCCCAGCGCACGGCGTCCGTGGGCTGGGTGGCTCCTGCTGCATCAGAATGTTGATGCCTGGTGTCCAAAAACCTGAGCCCTCATTGTGGTTCGTTTGGCAGGGTAGCTCTGCAGAGGGGTATGCCCTGCAGAAAAGTGACTGGACCTCACGATGCTGTCATTCTGTCAGGCCGTGGTCGCCTGCACGTGCATGCCTTCGTGGCCAGGATTTGGGAGCTGCTACACCCCAAAGATGAGGGCTTGGGAAGAGTGGCTGGTGGCTCGAGTGCCATGGTTGGTGTGCGCAGCCCCTGGTGTTGTGCGTGCATGGCACAGGCCACAGTTGCTAACAGTGCTGCACATGGGTGCAGGCAGGGCCATGGGCCGAGTAGCAAACAGGGCTAGAAGGGCTGGGCCATTGTCAGGCACGGCTCCTGCTCCCTGGAGCCACAAGGCCGAGGAATCCTGCTGTGTAGTGCAGCTTGTTAGCACCAGCCATGTTTGAGGTAGCTTCACGGGGAGCACAGCTCTGTGCAACGCAGGCAAGTGACTCTTGTGTATGCTTGGCCTCCAGAGAGAGCTGACCTCTGACGGAGTGCAATGGTCAGGTTTAGGATTAAGAGAGGGAGAAAGCCTGGAGCTCTGGGGGAGCGGCGCTTGGAAGGGCCTGCGTAAGGGAACATAGCACTGTATCCAGTCTGGTTGTGGGATGCTCTTGAACTTTGAGACAGATCTAGATGTGGTGGCCTTGACCTCCAGAGAGACCTGAGATTTGCCATTTGGGGGCCACGTGCGTGGCCCTTTTCTTTGAGACATCTCTTGGATCCCTCCATACATGCAGGATGCAGCTTTTCTGGGCTCATCCCGCTGTGCACATGAAGGTCTAAGGACAGGCTAACGGCCATCCTGTGGGTAGTACTAGTGGCAAGGAGTTTGGTCAGTGGTAGGACAGCAGATACAAAAGTAAGTTTACTCTAGGAGAGAATAGGGCTTATGTAGGTATGAGCCACAGCTCCATAGTCAAAGGACTGTTTGTCCAGTACTAACTGGGAAAAACAGTAATCACTTTGGTGGTTTAAGGCTTTTGGAGGGGAAAATATTTTTGGAAGGGAAATGCTTTTGGCAGAGATTTTTTTTCATGAATTTTCATTAACCATGATTTTTTGTATGAATTGTCATGAACCATGATTTTTTTCACAGAAGAAAAATATTTGGAAGGAAAAAAAACTCAGAAGGAAACATTTAGAGGGCATAGTTTTTTGGAAAGAATTTTATTTGAGGGAATTTTTGAGATGGGAAAATTTTTTGGATGGAATTTTCTTGGGTTTGTTGAGAGTTAATAGTTTTGTTTGGGGGAGAGGAAGTTATTTATATATATAAGAGGAACAAAGGATGACAAAAAATGATGCCATTCTCTTGTTTGTTGTTATTTGTGTTGGAATATTTTGTCTACAACATTAGTATGTTTTGGTATTATTTTTGGGCACAGATAAAAAGGAAGTAATGAAAGGATGATTCGCATAGTGCGACTTACTCCTTCAAGCTTTTCTTTATATACTTATTATTCCTTATTATTTTTAATAAGGAATATTATTTAAATTATATTAAATTATATGTTATTATTATATTAAATTTATTTTAAATAAGGAATATTATTATTCCTTTCCTTTATATACTTATTATTCCTTATTATTATTCCTTTTTCACCCACTTGACCCAACTGCTGTTTCGATCCCCAGCTTTCAGGCATAAGATTCTGAAGC